GGGTGAGTGGGTGAGTGAATGAGTGGGTGGGTGAGTGAATGAGTGGGTGAGTGAATCGGTGAGTGAGTGAGTAGGTGAGTGAGTGAGTGGGTGAGTGAGTGAGGGGGTGAGTGAGTGAGTGAGTGGTGAGTGGGTGAGAGGGTGGTGAGTGAGTGGATGAGTGACTAAATGAGTGAGTGGTGAGTGAGTGGTGTGTGGGTGAGTGAGTGGGTGGGTGAGTGAGTGGGAGTGAGTGGGTGAGTGAGTGAGTGGTGAGTAACTGTGTGTGTTGTCTGTGTGGTGAGTGGGTGGGTGAAAGGGTGAGTGAGTGGGTGAGTGCGTGAGTGTGAGTGAGTGAGTGGTGAGTGAGTGAGCGATTGAGTGAGTGGTGAGTGAGTGAGTGTGTGAGTGAGTGACTGAGTGGGTGAGTGAGTGAGTTGGTGAGTGGGTGAGTGAGTGAGTGAGCGAGTGAGTGGGTGAGCGAGTGGGTGAGTGAGTGGGTGAGTGAGTGGGTGGGTGAGTGAGTAGGAGTGAGTGAGTGGGTGAGTGAGTGAGTGAGTGGGTGAGTGAATGAGTGAGTGGGTGAGTGAGTGGGTGAGTAAGTGAGCGGTTGAGTGAGTGGTGAGTGAGTGAGTGGGTGAGCGAGTGAGTGAGTGAGTGGGTGAGTGAGTGGGTGAGTGAGTGAGTGAGTTGGTGAGTGGGTGAGTGGGTGAGTGAATGAGTGGGTGGGTGAGTGAATGAGTGGGTGAGTGAATCGGTGAGTGAGTGAGTTGGTGAGTGAGTGAGTGGGTGAGTGAGTGAGTGGGTGAGTGAGTGAGTGAGTGGGTGAGTGAGTGGGTGGGTGAGTGAGTGGGTGGGTGAGTAGGTGAGTGAATGGGTGAGTGAGTGAGTGAGTGGGTGAGTGAATGAGTGGTGAGTGAGTGTGTGAGTGTTGAGTGAGTGAGTGGGTGAGTGTTGAGTGAGTGAGTGGGTGAGTGAGTGAGTGGTGAGTGAGTGAGTGGGTGAGTAGGTGAGTGAGTGAGTAGGTGAGTGAGTGGGTGAGTGAGTGAGTGGGTGAGTGAGTGAGTGAGTGGGTGAGTGAGTGGGTGGGTGAGTGAGTGGGTGGGTGAGTAGGTGAGTGAATGGGTGAGTAAGTGAGTGAGTGGGTGAGTGAATGAGTGGTGAGTGAGTGGGTGAGTGAGTTACTGAGTGGGTGAGTGGGTGAGTATTGAGTGAGTGAGTGGGTGAGTGAGTGGTGAGTGAGTGACTGAGTGGGTGAGTGAGTGTGTGAGTGTTGAGTGAGTGAGTGGGTGAGTGTTGAGTGAGTGAGTGGGTGAGTGAGTGAGTGGTGAGTGAGTGAGTGGGTGAGTAGGTGAGTGAGTGAGTAGGTGAGTGAGTGGGTGAGTGAGTGAGTGGGTGAGTGAGTGAGTGAGTGGGTGAGTGAGTGGGTGGGTGAGTGAGTGGGTGGGTGAGTAGGTGAGTGAATGGGTGAGTGAGTGAGTGCGTGAGTGAATGAGTGGTGAGTGAGTGAGTGAGTTACTGAGTGGGTGAGTGGGTGAGTATTGAGTGAGTGAGTGGGTGAGTGAGTGAGTGGTGAGTGAGTGACTGAGTGGGTGAGTGAGTGTGTGAGTGTTGAGTGAGTGAGTGGGTGAGTGTTGAGTGAGTGAGTGGGTGAGTGAGTGAGTGAGTGGTGAGTGAGTGAGTGGGTGAGTAGGTGAGTGAGTGAGTAGGTGAGTGAGTGGGTGAGTGAGTGAGTGAGTGGGTGAATAGATGAGTGAGTGGGTAATTGAGTGAGTGGGTGAGTGAATGAGTGGTGAGTGAGTGAGTGGGTGAGTGAGTGGGTGAGTGTTGAGTGAATGAGTGATGAGTGAGTGAGTAGGTGAGTGGGTGAGTGAGTGAGTGGGTGGGTGAGTGAGTGAGTGGGTGGGTGAGTGAGTGAGTGGGTGAGTGAATGAGTGGGTGAGTGAGTGGGTGAGTGAGTGAGTGGGTGAGTAGGTGAGTGAGTGGGTGAGTGAGTGAGTGAGTGGGTGAGTTAGTGGGTGAGTAGATGAGTGAGTGGGTAAGTGAGTGAGTGGGTGAGTGAATGAGTGGTGAGTGAGTGAGTGGGTGAGTGAGTGACTGAGTGGGTGAGTGAGTGGGTGAGTGTTGAGTGAATGAGTGATGAGTGAGTGAGTTGGTGAGTGAGTGACTGAGTGAGTGAGTGGGTGAGTGTTGAGTGAGTGAGTGGGTGAGTGAGTGGTGAGTGAGTGGTGAGTGAGTGAGTAGGTGAGTGAGTGGTGAATGAGTGGTGAGTGTTGAGTGAGTAGGTGAGTGGGTGAGTGAGTGGGTGGGTGAGTGAGTGAATGGGTGGGTGAGTAAGTGAGTAAGTGGATGAGTGAGTGGGTGAGTGAATGAGTGGGTGAGTGAGTGGGTGAGTGAGTGAGTGGGTGAGTAGGTGAGTGAGTGAGTGAGTGGGTGAGTGAGTGAGTGGGTGAGTGAGTGGGTGAGTGGGTGGGTGAGTGAGTGGGTGAGTGAGTGGGTGGGTGAGTGAGTGAGTGGGTGGGTGAGTAGGTGAGTGAATGGGTGAGTGAGTGGGTGGGTGAATGAATGAGTGGTGAGTGAGTGAGTGGTGAGTGAGTGAGTGGTGAGTGAGTGGTGAGTGAGTGGTGAGTAACTGTGTGTGTGTCTGTGTCGTGAGTGGGTGAGTGGGTGAGTGAGTGACTGAGTGCGTGAGTGAGTGAGTGAGTGGTGAGTGAGTGGTGAGTAACTGTGTGTGTGTGTCTGTGTGGTGAGTGGGTGGGTGAGTGAGTGGTGAGTGAGTGGTGAGTGAATGGTGAGTAACTGTGTGTGTGTCTGTGTGGTGAGCGAGTGAGTGGGTGAGTGGTGAGTGAGTGGGTGAGTGAATGAGTGGTGAGTGAGTGAGTGGGTGAGTGGTTGAGTGTTGAGTGAGTGGGTGAGTGAGTGAGTGGGTGAGTGAGTGAGTGGTGAGTGAGTGGTGAGTAACTGTGTGTGTGTGGTGAGTGAGTGGTGAGTAACTGTGTGTGTGTGGTGAGTGAGTGGTGAGTGAGTGGTGAGTGAGTGGTGAGTGAGTGAGTGAGTGGTGAGTGAGTGAGTGAGTGGGTGAGTGAGTGAGTGAGTGGTGAGTACTGGTGAGTAGGTGGTGAGTAACTGTGTGTGTGGTGAGTGAGTGGTGAGTGAGTGGTGAGTGAGTGAGTGGGTGAGTGGTGAGTAGGTGGTGAGTAGGTGGTGAGTAAGTGGTGAGTAACTGTGTGTGTGTGGTGAGTGAGTGGTGAGTGAGTGAGTGAGTGGTGAGTGAGTGAGTGTTGAGTTAGTGAGTGAGTGGTGAGTGAGTGAGTGAGTGGTGAGTGAATGGTGAGTAGGTGGTGAGTGTGTGGTGAGCGAGTGGTGAGTAACTGGTGAGTAACTGGTGAGTAACTGTGTGTGTGTGCTGAGTGAGTGAGTGGGTGAGTGAGTGGGTGAGTGAGTGAGTGGGTGAGTGAGTGAGTGGTGAGTGAGTGGTGAGTAACTGGTGAGTAAGTGGTGAGTAGTTGGTGAGTGAGTAACTGGTGAGTAACTGTGTGTGTGTCTGTGTGGTGAGTGGGTGAGTGAGTGACTGAGTGGGTGAGTGAGTGAGTGGTGAGTGAGTGGTGAGTGAGTGGTGAGTAACTGTGTGTGTGTCTGTGTGGTGAGTGGGTGAGTGAGTGAGTGGTGAGTGAGTGGTGAGTGAGTGGTGAGTAACTGTGTGTGTGTCTGTGTGGTGAGCGAGTGAGTGGGTGAGTGGTGAGTGAGTGGGTGAGTGAATGAGTGGTGAGTGAGTGAGTGGGTGAGTGGGTGAGTGTTGAGTGAGTGGGTGAGTGAGTGAGTGAGTGGTGAGTGAGTGGTGAGTAACTGTGTGTGTGTGGTGAGTGAGTGGTGAGTGAGTGAGTGGGTGAGTGAGTGAGTGGTGAGTGAGTGGTGAGTGAGTGGTGAGTGGTGAGTGCGTGACTGAGTGAGTGGTGAGTGGTGAGTGAGTGGTGAGTGAGTGAGTGGGTGAGTGAGTGAGTGGTGAGTGAGTGGTGAGTAACTGTGTGTGTGTGGTGAGTGAGTGGTGAGTGGTGAGTAACTGTGTGTGTGTGGTGAGTGAGTGGTGAGTGAGTGGTGAGTGAGTGGTGAGTGAGTGAGTGAGTGGTGAGTGAGTGGTGAGTGAGTGGTGAGTGGTGAGTGCGTGACTGAGTGAGTGGTGAGTGGTGAGTGAGTGAGTGGTGAGTGAGTGAGTGAGTGGTGAGTAACTGTGTGTGTGTGGTGAGTGAGTGGTGAGTGGTGAGTAACTGTGTGTGTGTGGTGAGTGAGTGGTGAGTGAGTGGTGAGTGAGTGAGTGGTGAGTGAGTGAGTGAGTGGGTGAGTGAGTGAGTGGTGAGTAGGTGGTGAGTAGGTGGTGAGTGAGTGGTGAGTAGGTGGTGAGTAACTGTGTGTGTGTGGTGAGTGAGTGGTGAGTGAGTGAGTGAGTGGTGAGTGAGTGAGTGTTGAGTTAGTGAGTGAGTGGTGAGTGAGTGAGTGAGTGGTGAGTGAGTGGTGAGTAGGTGGTGAGTGTGTGGTGAGTGAGTGGTGAGTAACTGGTGAGTAACTGTGTGTGTGTGGTGAGTGAGTGAGTGACTGGGTGAGTGAGTGGGTGAGTGAGTGGGTGAGTGAGTAAGTGGTGAGTGAGTGGTGAGTAACTGGTGAGTAAGTGGTGAGTAGGTGGTGAGTAGGTTGTGAGTAACTGGTGAGTAACTGTGTGTGTGTGGTGAGTAACTGGTGAGTGAGTGGTGAGTAGGTGGTGAGTAACTGGTGAGTAACTGTGTGTGTGTGGTGAGTGAGTTGTGAGTGGGTGAGTGAGTGGTGAGTGAGTGGTGAGTAGGTGGTGAGTAGGTGGTGAATAACTGTGAGTGAGTGGTGAGTGAGTGAGTGAGTGGTGAGTGAGTGGTGAGTGAGTGGTGAGTAGGTGGTGAATAACTGTGAGTGAGTGGTGAGTGAGTGAGTGAGTGGTGAGTGAGTGGTGAGTAGGTGGTGAGTAGGTGGTGAGTAACTGTGTGTGTGGTGAGTAGGTGCAAGACGGACCCCAACTCTCTTTACGAAAACGTTGCCGTGCTGTCTAAGAAGAAGTGAACTCACCACCATCCTCACCAACACACTCACCAACACACTCACCACCACACTCACCACCATCCTCACCAACATCCTCACCACCATCCTCACCACCACACTCACCACCATCCTCACCAACACACTCACCAACACACTCACCAACACACTCACCACCCACTCACCAACACACTCACCACCCACTCACCACCATCCTCACCACCATCCTCACCACCATCCTCACCAACACACTCACCAACACACTCACCACCATCCTCACCACCATCCTCACCACCCACTAACCACCATCCTCACCAACACACTCACCACCATACTCACCAACAGACTCACCACCCACTCACCAACACACTCACCACCATCCTCACCACCATCCTCACCAACACACTCACCAACACACTCACCAACACACTCACCACCATCCTCACCACCATCCTCACCAACACACTCACCAACACACTCACCAACACACTCACCAACAGACTCACCACCCACTCACCAACACACTCACCACCATCCTCACCACCATCCTCACCAACACACTCACCACCACACTCACCACCACACTCACCACCATCCTCACCACCATCCTCACCACCCACTCACCACCATCCTCACCACCATCCCCACCACCATCCTCACCAACACACTCACCACCATCCTCACCACCATCCTCACCACCCACTAACCACCATCCTCACCACCATACTCACCAACAGACTCACCACCCACTCACCAACACACTCACCACCATCCTCACCACCATCCTCACCAACACACTCACCAACACACTCACCAACACACTCACCAACAGACTCACCACCCACTCACCAACACACTCACCGCCATCCTCACCACCACACTCACCACCCACTCACCACCATCCTCACCACCATCCTCACCACCATCCTCACCACCATCCTCACCAACACACTCACCACCACACTCACCACCATCCTCACCACCATCCTCACCACCATCCTCACCACCATCCTCACCACCATCCTCACCACCATCCTCACCACCATCCTCACCACCCACTCACCACCACACTCACCACCATCCTCACCAACACACTCACCACCCACACTCACCACCACACTCACCACCCACTCACCAACACACTCACCACCACACTCACCACCCACTCACCAACACACTCACCAACACACTCACCAACACACTCACCACCATCCTCACCACCACACTGTGCGTGTGTGTCTGTGTGTGTGTCTGTGTGTGTGTCTGCGTGTGTGTCTGTGTGTGTCTGTGTGTGTGTCTGTGTCTGTGTGTCTGTGTGTGTGTCTGTGTGTCTGTGTGTGTGTGTGTGTCTGTGTGTGTCTGTGTGTGTGTCTCTGTGTGTGCCACAGTACCTAGTTTCGTAGGTGCTGCTACTCGCTACTAACAGCACTTGCCCCTACAGCCTGCTAGAGGCTACACGGGGGATCTTTGTCTGTGTGTAGGTGCTGCTACTACTAACAGCACTTGCCACTACAGCCTGCTAGAGGCTACACGGGGAATCTTCGTCCGTGTGTAGGTGCAGCTACTCGCTACTACTGACAGCACTTGCCCCTACAGCCTGCTGGAGGCTACCTGGGGGAGCTTTGTCTTTGAACCAGCGCTAAAAGTGTCGTGAAGCTAGTCCAGGAAGGTTACGTCATCCCTACAGACGTAGCCAGCCATGATGGTCGATGTGGGTCTCTATGGGTCTCTATGGGTCTCTATGGGTCTCTGTGGGTCTCTGTGGGTGTCTCTATGGGTCTCTATGGGTCTCTATGGGTGTCTCTATGGGTCTCTGTGGGTGTCTCTGTGGGTCTCTGTGGGTGTCTCTATGGGTGTCTCTGTGTGTCTCTGTGGGTGTCTCTGTGGGTCTCTGTGGGTCTCTGTGGGTGTCTCTGTGGGTCTCTATGGGTCTCTGTGTGTCTCTGTGGGTGTCTCTGTGGGTCTCTATGGGTCTCTGTGGGTGTCTCTGTGGGTCTCTGTGGGTCTCTATGGGTCTCTGTGGGTGTCTCTGTGGGTGTCTCTGTGGGTATCTATGGGTCTCTATGGGTCTCTGTGGTTGTCTTTGTGGGTCTCTATGGGTCTCTGTGGGTCTCTATGGGTTTCTATGGGTCTCTGTGGTTGTCTTTGTGGGTCTCTATGGGTCTCTATGGGTTTCTAGGGGTCTCTGTGGATCTCTATGGGTCTTTCTGGGTGTCTCTGTGTGTCTCTATGGGTCTCTGTGGGTCTCTAGGGGTCTCTGTGGGTCTCTATGGGTCTTTCTGGGTGTCTCTGTGGGTCTCTGTGGGTCTCTATGGGTCTCTATGGGTGTCTCTGTGGGTCTCTATGGGTCTCTATGGGTCTCTGTGGGTCTCTATGGGTTTCTATGGGTCTCTGTGGTTGTCTTTGTGGGTCTCTATGGGTCTCTAGGGGTCTCTGTGGATCTCTATGGGTCTTTCTGGGTGTCTCTGTGTGTCTCTATGGGTCTCTGTGGGTCTCTACGGGTCTCTATGGGTGTCTCTGTGGGTGTCTATGGGTGTCTCTGTGTGTCTCTGTGGGTCTTTCTGGGTCTCTATGGGTGTCTCTGTGGGTGTCTCTATGGGTGTCTCTATGGGTGTCTCTATGGGTGTCTCTATAGGTGTCTCTGTGGGTCTCTGTGGGTGTCTCTATGGGTGTCTCTATGGGTGTCTCTGTGGGTGTCTCTATGGGTGTCTCTGTGGGTGTCTCTATGGGTCTCTATGGGTGTCTCTGTGGGTCTCTGTGGGTGTCTCTATGGGTGTCTCTATGGGTGTCTCTGTGGGTCTTTATGGGGGTCTCTATGGGTGTCTCTATGGGTGTCTCTGTGGGTCTTTATGGGGGTCTCTATGGGTGTCTCTATGGGTGTCTCTATGGGTCTCTGTGGGTGTCTCTATGGGTCTCTATGGGTCTCTGTGGGTGTCTCTATGGGTCTCTATGGGTCTCTATGGGTCTCTATGGGTCTCTGTGGGTGTCTCTATGGGTGTCTCTATGGGTCTCTGTGGGTGTCTCTATGGGTCTCTGTGGGTCTTTATGGGGGTTCTCTATGGGTCTCTATGGGTGTCTCTATGGGTCTCTATGGGTCTCTATGGGTCTCTGTGGGTGTCTCTGTGGGTGTCTCTATGGGTCTCTATGGGTCTCTATGGGTGTCTGTCGGTCTCTGTGGGTGTCTCTATGGGTCTCTGTGGGTGTCTCTATGGGTGTCTGTGTGTCTCTGTGGGTGTCTCTGTGGGTGTCTCTGTGGGTGTCTCTATGGGTGTCTCTATGGGTCTCTGTGGGTGTCTCTGTGGGTCTCTATGGGTCTCTGTGTGTCTCTGTGGGTGTCTGTGGGTGTCTCTATGGGTCTCTATGGGTCTCTGTGGGTGTCTCTGTGGGTGTCTCTGTGTGTGTCTCTATGGGTCTCTGTGGGTGTCTCTATGGGTCTCTGTGGGTGTCTCTATGGGTGTCTCTATGGGTGTCTCTATGGGTCTCTGTGTGTCTCTGTGGGTGTCTGTGGGTGTCTCTATGGGTCTCTATGGGTCTCTGTGGGTGTCTCTGTGGGTGTCTCTGTGGGTGTCTCTATGGGTCTCTATGGGTGTCTCTATGGGTCTCTGTGGGTGTCTCTATGGGTGTCTCTATGGGTCTCTATGGGTCTCTGTGGGTGTCTCTATGGGTGTCTCTATGGGTGTCTCTGTGGGTGTCTCTATGGGTCTCTGTGGGTGTCTCTATGGGTCTCTGTGGGTGTCTCTATGGGTGTCTCTATGGGTGTCTCTGTGGGTCTCTGTGGGTGTCTCTATGGGTCTCTGAGGGTGTCTCTATGGGTCTCTGTGGGTGTCTCTATGGGTGTCTCTGTGGGTCTTTATGGGGTCTCTATGGGTGTCTGTGTGTCTCTATGGGTGTCTCTATGGGTCTCTGTGGGTGTCTCTATGGGTCTCTATGGGTCTCTGTGGGTGTCTCTGTGGGTGTCTCTATGGGTCTCTATTTGTCTCTATGGGTCTCTGTGGGTGTCTCTATGGGTCTCTATGGGTCTCTGTGGGTGTCTCTGTGGGTCTCTATGGGTCTCTATGGGTCTCTGTGGGTGTCTCTATGGGTGTCTCTATGGGCGTCTCTATGGGTCTCTGTGGGTGTCTCTATGGGTCTCTGTGGGTGTCTCTATGGGTGTCTCTATGGGTGTCTCTGTGGGTCTCTGTGGGTGTCTCTATGGGTGTCTCTGTGGGTCTTTATGGGGGTTCTCTATGGGTGTCTGTCGGTCTCTATGGGTGTCTCTATGGGTCTCTGTGGGTGTCTCTATGGGTCTCTGTGGGTGTCTCTATGGGTCTCTATGGGTCTCTGTGGGTGTCTCTATGGGTGTCTCTGTGGGTCTCTGTGGGCGTCTCTATGGGTGTCTCTATGGGTCTCTGTGGGTGTCTCTATGGGTGTCTCTGTGGGTCTTTATGGGGTCTCTATGGGTGTCTGTGTGTCTCTATGGGTGTCTCTATGGGTCTCTGTGGGTGTCTCTATGGGTCTCTATGGGTCTCTGTGGGTGTCTCTGTGGGTGTCTCTATGGGTCTCTATGGGTCTCTGTGGGTGTCTCTGTGGGTGTCTCTATGGGTCTCTATTTGTCTCTATGGGTGTCTCTGTGGGTCTCTATGGGTCTCTATGGGTCTCTGTGGGTGTCTCTATGGGTGTCTCTATGGGTGTCTCTGTGGGTGTCTCTATGGGTCTCTCTGACTAGCCAATCGGTGTGAAGGATGGGGGGGGGACGATGGTGATTGGACGTGACGTCACTGGCGCGTCAATCGATATGCTAATTGCAGGGGGGAGGGACAAGGGGGAGGGGCACGTGACAATCGTCTCGTGATGATGAGGTATAATTTCCGCTGCTCATTTGCATATCATTTGCATATCATTTGCATATAGCAACTGCTTCTGATTGTAGCTGATGGTGGTACCCTGGTTGACTCTGATTGTAGCTGATGGTGGTACGCTGGTTGCTAGGGGCTGACTCTGACTGTAGCTGATGGTGGTACCCTGGTTGCTAGGGACTGACTTGACTGTAGCTGATGGTGGTACGCTGGTTGCTAGGGACTGACTTCTGACTGTTGCTGATGGTGGTACGCTGGTTGCTAGGGACTGACTTCT